GCAGCATGAAGGAACTGCAAACCTTTATTCCGGTATACAACCCTGTAAACAAATATCCTTGAAGCTACCATATCCTTGAAACTACCAACGCTGGTTTCAGTTATCTTCAACCTCAAGACCTGAAGTTGTTGCCCTGGTTAACCCCGAGCCACTGATCTCTGTCCTATCACCCCGACCAAGGTGGCACAATCCTCTCACACACACACACACACACACACTTCCTATTTGTCGTCTATTTATATATTTTTTTATTTTACCTCCTCAATGTTACACGCTGGTATTTAAAATACCTTTAAAACTATCGACATCCATCCATTCATCCACCTCAGCTGTTTGTGTTTACTTCTAAGTAGTAAAAGTTAGCCTATCCACAGTGAGCGTGAGTATGTTTGCATTTAGACTCTCTCCGGTAGAGATAATAAAGAAACTATTTTAATGGACTCTTTTTTAGTTTTGGTTTTAACTGAATCGGGTAACGATGGCTGTGTTTATCTGGACAGGAAGAATAGTTTCAGTAATTAGAGCTGAATCCAAAGCAATGCTCTTTAATATTAGAGTGAATATTACTCATATTCACTCGTCTGCTGTGCACGTTTACAGTCTTTCTTGTTGTGTTTTGTGTTCTTGCACCACATCGAAACTGATCGACTGTTTTAATAACAGCAGCCTTTTGAACCCTTCACTCTTGCTATCAAACCCAGGCTCCTCGAGGATTTCCCCAACTCTGCAAAACCGTTATCGTGTTCAGTGTTTTGTTTTTTTGCAACAGCATTCACAACAAACGTATCTCAACGTGCCCTGAAATATTTAAATAATGTCTATAGGGCAGCTGGATACCTGGGGGAAAGTTTTTTTTTTTTCTGGGTCAAATGACATATTACTGGCAGACACCAAAAACCAAACCATAAAACTCACGCGAGTAGTTTCACCCAATAGAAGCAGCAGATAAACTGTCTGATTGTTTTACATTTTAAAATAATAAAAATATTAATTTGTGCAAACTCTAACCTTTCTAATTTTACTAGTTTTTCTAGTTTACTGTAGCTACTGTTAATTTCATATTATATATATGCTATAAGTTAATTTTATTTTATTTTATCTTTATTTTATTCTTCTTCTTCTTTTATTCTTAGGGTTTTATATTTTAGTTTAATGTATGTTTTGTACTTTGTATGCTACTGGATACTTGAATTTCCCTCGGGATAAATAAAGTATCTATCTATCTAATAAAAACCTAATTTTACATTGCAATATTGGAAATGTGTCTAAAATGAGGCTGGAATATTTCCATTTATTGGAATAATGCAGGAATAAATAACAGTGTGTATGAACTAGAGACAGACCGATATGTTTTTTTCAGGGCCGATACCAATACCGATTATTAGTAGTCAAGGAGGCCGATAACCGATATTTGGAGCTGATATTCATTTGCAGTAAAAGGGAAAGTATTGGCGTCAAAATTTTGAATAATACAAACTCCAACACTTAACTTCGTTTGAATGCCTATAAGCATATGTTTATATATGTATATACGTGCACAGCGTTCACTGCTGATCGGCTGTTACCCGTACCGTGGCTCTGCGTGTAACCACAGCGTTTAACCAATCAGATAGTGCTGTGGATGGGGTGGAAGTACAGACATCATGCTATTGTGTTAAGCTGGTTCAGGTTTACAGCAGACACACTGTACAGAGTTCTTGTTTCAGAGTTTAGGTTCAGAGGAGCAGTTAGTTTTCAGTCACGTGACTGGCACTAGAGCCCTGGAGGGCACTGGACACGCCGTACAACCGTAAAACAGGCATGTGACTTATCCATGAATATTTAAATCACCTCTCAAAAGAGGAAAAAACAAAAGATACATGAACAAACTGCAAGTTTTGGGCACTTGCAGTAATAAACCACTGATAACAGCCCTGCCAGAGCTCCAGTTGAAGATGTTAACGTCCATCTTGTGCAGAATCTTCTCTAAAAGCACACTAAAATACAGACTAGGGACGTACCAATCTCAAAGATCAGTGTCGGCACCAATCAAGGAATGTTTTAACTGATCCGTATCAGCTATATTGAGCTTTATAGACCTGATGCTTTTTTTTACTACCACTGGAGAGAGTTGGTTGGTGGGCAGCAGAAGAAAGCCTTGTTTGTCCTTCGAGTGGGCGTTCCTGTAAGGATGTGACATGAAAACTATGAATATGAACAAACTACACCTCACACACACACACACAGAAACTTGTATTCAGATTCTTTGAAACCTTCCGAAATAAAACCCAAATCACAAAAACATAATTTTATCTTGCTTTGGTTCGGAGTTATTTTGAGTTAGAAGACAATTTTCAACTTATGGTCCTTTAAGTTATTTATTGTCTCATTTCTCTTCTCATTTTATCCTCGTTAGGCCTATTTTAAGAGTTTGGTTCTACCTTCCAGCATTGGCATTGCCTAAAATCTGGCATAATGAAACCATTCATTAATAAAAATGTTTAAACTTCTGATGGCTTTCTCATTTTTTACTGGGATTTACATGTTCACACTGGTATTTATGGCAGGAAAAGTGGTTTAACCTTGTTTTTATATCTGTTTTATCCGCTAGAAAGTTTTTAAATCGTTATTAAATAGACTATACGTTAGCCTGCCCTTTCAAATAAATGAAAAAACCATAGATGTCATGCTTTTAGCATTTAGTAGGACTTTCTCTCAGCACCCCCAACTCTTCTAGTTAGTTCACTTAACTAGTACACAATTTAAGAATTTGAATCACCAATTTAAGGGAGAATAAAATACCATGTAACACAGAACCAAAACATAAAATCTTTTTCCTCCTTTTGTTGAGTCCTTTATAGTCTAAATGAGGCTAAACTTGACCGTGTCTGTTGTAGCTTCTTAAATTCACTCTACGAGAACAGAAAAACACAAAATACACGATATAAACTCAACTCACACTGTTTTATATAATATGCATGCACTTTATGCTGCATATAATACGTGAAAAACAACGAAATGTGCTAATTGACAGGCTGAATAATAGTTTTACCCGTAGATAAAGGGACGTAATGCGGCGTTCTCCACTTGACGTGCGTTTGCGCCGCCATATTGGTGCAGTCAAGATCCGCCTGTTAACAATGCTGAGAGATTCAGACTTCATAATAAAATCGTCTCTCTCGATTAATTCTGAAGCGATTTTCATGAAATTTGGTTTATTATGAGCGTGAGAATATTGAGCATGGTAGTGGGTACTGGTAGGAATTCATTCACTCACTGAGTGTAATGGGCGTGAGATTGGACCCAAGAACAGCACAGACTGAGACCAGTGTTGGCAAAGTTCGACAGTTTATTGACCAAGCAGGGTCGTAAAATCCACAGCAAGTACACAGGAACAATCCACAAAGCAAAACAGTCTGACTTTCTAGTTGAGATCTCCAGGGAGGGAATCCAAGCAAACTGGAGACAGACGAGGGGTGAGCAGGCAGAGGGGTCAGGGACAGAAGGGCAGTTCAGGTTACCTGGGCAGGGACGACGAGGACGGGTCAAGGACAAGCAGGGTCGAAACCAAGGAAGCAATCCGGAAAATACTGCGAGAGAGCTTTGCATGCTGCTAAAGACAATCTGGCAGAGACTGAGTGAACAGAGTGGGTTTAAACCAGGTGAGGGAACACAGGTGAAGGTGGTTGCACTGATGAGGTGAGAGTGGCAGGCAGGTGAACAGGAAAAGTACTGGCAGAACTGGCAGTAGGACGGAAAGCCAGGAACGGATCATGACACTGAGGGGTGGATATAATCAGCTCTATGCCAACTATTTGTCACCATTTGGAAGAATGCTGCAGGTGTAAACAAACAAACAATGACTACACACCCATTGAGCGGTGGGCTGATGTTAAAGCTCCGCTGGAAACTGAAAGTGAAACTTAAGTTCTGGTTGGAACCGGTCTACGGTGCCACCAAGCTCAATACTACTTTCTATTATAGCTTCAAAGGTTAATTCCATCCAAATACCAATTTATTCAAGTAGTTATGGTTCAAAAGTAGTTTTAAAGGTTTATTTTACCCACTACTTTATCTAAGTACTTATATATAGAGTTGCATGTTGGGTAATTTGTGTAATTGGCTCAGTATACTAAATAATAAACTAAATATGGACTCAAGAGAGACAACAGACTCTGTGGGCTGATTCAAAAATTATTATTTTATATACATATATAAACAATTAGCAGAAAACAATTTGTTGTGATGGCTCTATTTTAAAGATGTTTTTTTCCTTTATTCATAGTTTATATTATCTGAGTTTTAACTAAATGGTGCATTTTTAATATATAAACCAGTATAAAAAATACTTTGCATGAACCCCTACAGGCATTTTTGGCTACAGCCAGAAGGGGGTTCAGTCAGTTGTGTCAGTTTAACATCATAAAATAAGAATAACGTATTGCTTTTTAGCTATCAGGAGCATTAGTCATATGTCCTGAAAGGCAACAGTTATGTTGTTGTGTCATTGCTGGTCAATGATGAAAAATAAAGAAATAGTGGTTGTACATGTACCTGGCTCATACTGTGAGTGGGAAGTAGTTTAATTAAATAAGATTAATTAAATACATTGAAAAGGAACAATCAGTATAGTTCCATGTCAGTGTTGTGAGGTGAACAAAAAAAGGAAGACCTGAAGAGGAACTGAAGCTGCAACGTGAATAAAAAAGCTTAAACATCAGTCTGTTAGGATGATATCATAACCTGGCACCTGTTAGCCACATTGTCACCACCAACTGATTAGATCTTTTTGTGTCTATTTTTGAACTGGATGAAGGATTTTAGTCATCAGGGAAAATTCCTTGTACATATTTTTTGCCAATTAAATCACCCGATCATCAATCATATTGTGTAATCTTTGCAATCCATAAATGAGTAGTGTTAAGTGGGCGGACACATTTCCATTTGCTGAATAATTGGTTGAGAGACTTAATGTGGTTTCTGATGTCAGAGAAAGTTTGTGTGGAGCCACAAAGAGGAAGATGAGTTTAAAAGCCTCCCGTCTCAGTTAGACTCAGTCAGTCTGCAGGTAGAACGTGTCTATGAAACTCTAGTCTCACCTAACTTTTCATTATTTAATCCTTTAAACATCAAGACAATGTGTGACATCAAGGCAATGTCCTTCGAACTGTCTCAAGCTTTAGACAGGTAAGTTAAACAAAAGTCTATTATGTTTAATTTTTTGCTTAACCTTATTATGTTACCTTAAATGAGTCTCTTTAAATGCTTTCCTCACTAACTACTGGGAAATATAACTTAAAAACTTGTGATTTAAAGAGTTAAATCTGCGTTACTTGTGAAGCAGAAAGTTTGAGTTCCTGAAAGTAAAGTTACAAAAAGCACAAGTGTGTCTGAAAAGGGAACGACTGTCTGACAATGTGTTTCACTTCACTTGAAGCATCTTGTCCTCGCGCTGGTTAAGAAAACGGGACAAAACAAATGAAAGTTAACAGTTGCGATCTGTAAAATTATCACAATTAAAGAATATTTAGAAAAGGTTTATATTTTATATGTATCTGTTTTGTATTTTAGCCCACTTGAATTGGAGGAGACGAGAGAATTTGAGCCCTGCTGCCTCAACATGACGGTAAGATTAAAAAATATATATATTAAATATGGGAGTCCATTCAAGCCATAATTCACTTTGGCCCTCACTTTTTTTACTTGAGTAGAAGTACAGACAGGATTTGAATGTTGCTGTTTCAACATGATTGTAAGAGTTATTATTATTTATGGGATGCCATTCAAGCCATAATTCACATGCATAGTCCCAGTCCTTTAACATACTCAAGTACTGATTCAACTTCTTTACTCAAACAAAAGTACAAAAAGTACTCTGAAATGTACTCAAAGTAGAAAAGTAAAAAGTACTCTCTTCTACTGGCTGTCTCTGTGCAAAGATAACCAATCGTCTTTTGCACCGTTTTCGACATTTTCATCATCTTACGTCTGTCATTCGTCATATGCACCGGTTGTGATGTTGGGAACACGTGTGATGATGCAATATAATAATAATAATAATAATAATAATAATAATTCCCCTTAAATGCATTAAAAACTAAAAAGTAACCTGTTTCCGAAATATCAGGAGGAGAAAGTTTTGATATTTGTGCAGAAATGTAGGCAGCAAAAGTACAAAGTTGCATTAAGATAAAAAACTACTAATAAAACGTATTTGTACTTTATTACTTCCCACCTCTGGATCAGAGTGATTATAAAGAATACAGTATATATATATATATATATATATATATATATATATATATATATATATATATATATATGAGAACTGTGTATGTTTAAGAATTAAAATACAATTTTTATTAGTTTTATTAGAGTGTTCAGTTTTAGGTCTTTTTTATTATAATATTATTATATTTGTCAGTTTCAGGATTGAAGAAGTTCAAACTAGGTGTTCCAATACAAACACATTGATTAACAGTCAGTCTCAATAAATAGATGCACCAATGGCTCCTCATACATGTTGACAAATAGGACCATATTGACTAAAAAAAAGACATTTCCTGTTTATTTTTATATTATTTTCGTAGGTTTTGTAAGCACACAATATGGTTTCACCTAGTTTAAGTGTTTAGAGTTTAATTAACTATAATAAACTTAATGTGGAAGTGAAAATATGTGTATGTGCAATTTTATTCCTTTATTCTTATTCATTTCCACTCATTAAAGCATATATGGGGAAGCACCTGCAGCTGGGGGACACAATCTGTGGTTTCTCACCTCTTCTTTTACTCATGTAACATGCAGGATGTTCAGGACGAGGTCTTCAGACTCGATGAGGGACTGGACCTGGTGGTTTCCCACGACCCCAAGACCATGCAGTGCGTTGCCACCCTGCTGCTGGCGGTGAACAGGATGAAAAAGCCCCTGACCCGCTGTAGGAAGCTCAGTGACGACGAGCTCTGCAGTGTGATCATGGACAGCCTGATAGAGGGTGGGTAATAGTAGTCTGACGGTGTTTAACAAGTTCCTTGATTGAGAGCGGAAGTGAAACCAGAACTGCCGGGTTCTGATCTAGAAGTGAAAAAGCTCATTCATTGCTTTAAGTGATGTAATGTCTGACTTCCGAAAAAGGAAAAATTACTTTACTTTTTTAATACACTTTTCTCCACAATAACAATAAAGTGTCCCACCAAAGCAAAAACATTATAATAATGATAACATTGACCCTTTAAGATCACATCCTTGGTTATACTGTTTCCCTATTTAACAATTTATTCCAATATATGTACAAAAAACTCAACATTAGCCCCAAGGTGACAGGAGCCAAAACCACCTCAGTACTTTATTCCCAGTCGTCAAACTGTCCTCCGTCAGCATCAGAAGCTGCATTCAGTCTCAGTCTGGGTTGGAAGTTACAGCAAAGACAAAACGACTATCTTCTAACAAAATTGTGATTTTTCCACAGAGACGATTGTGAAGACGACCGAGGACTTCTCCTTGGGAGCGAAGAAGAAAACATTCCTGCGTGTGAACAGCGGGAACATCTGCACGCTGCACGACACGGATCAGAAAGCCATCGTCCACGGGTCGGGGGAGATCAAACTGCAGGCCATCACTCTGAAAGGAGGAAACTGTGAGCGCACAGGTACGATGCTCACAATACTTTTAGAAATATAACTTTTTTGTCCTATTTTGCTTAAACTGTCACTGAATCCTGACAACATTACACAGGCACGAGGAGGCGTTGGTTTATTTAGACTGTGAGTCAGTGTGTTTGTAGCGTAACAGCTGACAAATATCCCCATATTATGATTTAAAAAAACAAAATACTTATAATCTCATACTAATAATTCTAATTTGACTTTTTATCTCATAATTTTACCTTTTATCTTATAATTTTGACTCTTCATCTAATAATTCTGTCTTTTTATCTCATAATGTAACTCTTTATCTCATAATGTAACCCTTTATCTCTGAATTTGACTTTGAACTAATACTGAAACTAATAAAAAAACTAAACTGAAACTAAAAATTAAAAACTAAAATACAGAACTATAATAAATCTGGTTGCAATCTGCCACTTCAACCACCAGATGTCACTAAATCCCACACACTGTACCTTTAAATGGGATTCTGAATATAATGGATTACATTGTTGTATCTGTACTTTCACTTAAAGGAGTTTTTTTTACTGGTTATAAACAGTCTCAGTTTAATCCTGATGCCTCTGTATGAGCTACACAAACAAACACACCCATCAAATATTCCTCATTATCTATTCATCATTTTTTTGATTAATCAATTAGTTGTTTGTTCATAAAATGTCAGAAAATCTTTCCTAAAGAACAAGCTGACATCCTCAAATGTCTCTTTTTCTCCACAACCTGAAAAATATTCAGTTTACTGTCACAGAGGAGCAACATTACCAGAGAATATTCACATTTAAGCAGCTGAAAACAGAGAATTTAGTCTTTTTTCTTCCACAAAATGACTCAAATCGATTGTTAATTATCAGAATAGCTGCTGATAATTTAGCAGCTAATATTCTTGTGTTTGTTTTTTCCCACTTTAGTGAATTTTAAACTGGCGAGGTACATGAGCACTTGTGATACTCAATGTCAGTGTGTCCTTCTGTCCATCACCAACAACAACTTGCACCTTTCCTGCGTCATGAAAGACGGCAAAGCTGTGCTGAACCTGGAGGTAAGAATGTGTATAAATAAATTATATTATATATTATATAATATTACTATATCGTATAAAGTTACTTTACTGTAATATTTTCATTTTTATGTGACTTTATACCACCACTCTTTCAGCTATTGTTATTAATTACTTTACACATTCAGATTTTGCATACAAAAAATGTAATATTATAATGTGATGAACTGTATGAACTGTTTTTTTTCTTTACAACGCAAGACTTTTACCTGTTATTATTTTCACAAATTTTATTTTTTATCTCATAATTTATTTATTTCTATATCATAACTTAAACTTGTATCTCATAATTGGACTTTTTATCTCATAATTTATTTATTTTATCTGATAATTAAATTTTTTATCTCAGAATTTTTACTTTTTATCTCATTTTTGGACTTTTTAACTCAATTTATTTATTTTCACCTCAATTTAGAATTTTTATCTCATAATTTTTACTTTTTATCTCATAATTAAATTTTTTATCTCATAATTTTTACTTTTTTACTCATAATTTGTACTTTCTCTTTTGAATGTGACATTTTATTCGCATGATTTTTATTTATTTTGATTTTAATTTAGTTGATGACTGTCTCCGCACATAAATGGATTAATGTCAAGTTAAAGAGACACTTTCTCCGTCTGCAGGAATGCTCCGAGGAGACTTTAAAAAACATCTCCGATGATGAAAACATGGACCGTTTCCTCTTCTACAAGAGAGTCACTGGAGTCTCTCTGACCACCTTTGAGTCGGTCCGCTTCCCTGGCTGGTTCATCAGCACCTCCAACGACAGCGAGCAGCAGCCCGTGGAGATGTGTGTCGCAGACGCCGCCAGACGCGTCACCAGCTTCAAAGTAAACGCCACAAACTAAACTGAGAAGTGTCTCTCGGTTTAAGGTTCAATGTATCCAGAATTTTGCTTTTTTTTGGTATTGCATTTTACCTTTATTCTGGCTTACTCACCACTAGATGGTGCAATCATCTGCAGCTGCATTGATCAGACTGTCTGCGATTGGTGAGGTTATAATTCAGTAAAAGTCACTAAAGACAGTTTATATTTATATTGTCTTACTCACTGACAGGATGCTAAATGTATCTGCTTTGGTAAAAAAGTAACAGGATATTCCTTAAAAGTATTATTATTATTATTATTATTATGATTTCTGAAATTCAATTTATTTCTCTTATTTTTGGTGGTTTTATTGTGTTGTTGTTCCTTTTGGAGAATGAAGGTATGAGCATGTTACAAGTTTAAAAGTGTGATGAGCTGAATATGCCTGGTTCTGTGGAATAAATATTCTTATTTTATGTATTTTTGGTAGGGTTTTTTTTTTTTTTATCAGTCGTTTGTGGTTGCAGCGTGCAGCTTTAAATGTTTGCATGTAGACATTTAAAGGTAGAAAAACAACAAAAACACAATAAAACAAATAAATAACAATGTGTTGTACCCTCAAGAGGCAGTCGACACACAGAATTAAATCTGGTGTCATTTTGATTTATTTGACTTCTTGATTCAGTTTTATTTGCTTGTTGTTTGAGTTGATTTGATGGTAAATTAGTTGTTAAAGCTGTGAAATCTGCGATATATTTGCTTTATTATTGCTAATTATTAATTAATTCATGTTTGCTTTTGTTGTCCAAAAAAAATCAATGTGAACGTTATTTTCTCCATTTATATTGAATGAATTATGCTATAAATGATCTTTCTTTCCATAATAATGTTAATATATATAAAATAAAGCCACTAATCATCTATAATTTCTTTGATAGAAACCTGATGCTTTTTGCTAAATATTGTTATGTTTTCTAATGCCAACAATAAACCTTTAAACTCAATAAATGTTTTATTTCTTTAAGTATCTTTAGCACAAAGAGTCTTTTTCTGCTTTATCTTTGAGTGATGATGACAATATTATATATTATTTAATGATATTTTCTTACACCTCTGAGCTGAAACACGGACGCCGAGCTGGTTGACATGTTGAATTAATGTTTAAAGATAAGAAAGCTTCCTCCCTCCCGAAATATTGTTTCTATCATCCTATCACCTGTTTATAACTCTTATTATCTTCTTATTTTAGGATCAACTGTACGTTGTTAATGTCATAATAACACCTTTATAACTACCTTTCACTCACATTACACTCCATAAATGAATGATCCTTGTTCACTGTTTGTTTTCGTCATATTTGATTCAATTGTACTCTGTAAGAAGGTTATTCCTGATAAAGAACATATAAAAGATGGAGGATGGACGCCCTCTGGTGGCGGACGGCAGTATCAGCCTGATGTCATCATGTTAACAGATCAAAAAACAAAAACAAACTCTAATTACACGTCAAATAAATGTTCCTAAAAGATGATTTCTGTCACTTTAAATTCTCATCACGCTGATGTTTGTTCAGCTGTTATATTTTACTGATCAGTTTGGTTTGAATTAGTTATTTAAGATATAAAAAGAGGGTTTCACATCAATGATTGAGTAAAAATAACTAAAAAAAAAACTCCTTTATCAAGTAGCTTTAGTGATTTTAAGTGACACTGACTTAAAAAAACCTGAAAACAACTTCATCAGGAAAAAAACTGAGTTTGTGTGACTTAAAATGTCCGATGTGATCAGTTCCAACAGATTTAAGATGAATTACAGGAAGGTAAACGTCCACAGACGAGAGCAGCATCAGTCGCTTTAATGCTCAGTTCTGTTGACTTCAGTCACATTTTCTCATTTGGTGAAATAAAAAGCTCACAGCTGAACATCACTGGCTCCACTTCTCTCTCAGGGTCAAATACAGCACTCTACTATTTACAGCCGTGGTTCCCTTTTCTATAATTGAGTAAGTAGACGACCCCTGACTCAGTGATATCATATTTTATGGAGTTTTCTTGATATTTTTAGGAACTTTTTGTACAATTCTCTGTCTGTATTATGTATTTTTTAATAGTTTTTAACAATCATACAGAGTTAAAAAACAGCTTTTTTAAAAAACAAATTCAGAGTTTTATTCTCCCTGACGTTTGCCCTGTGAATAAAACTTGTGTTCAGCTCTTTAAAAATAACAATTTCATTTATTTCTCCTCACAGAAATGAAACAATATGCTGAGATTTAGGCGGGTATTCCTCCTTTCCTTTTAGACCTTTTTCACAGCAGCCATTCAGACATGAAACAGTAGGGTAAACACAGGGTGCTACCAAGGAGTCTCCAGTGACTCCGTTTGACCTTGAACAGGATCTTAATTAGTATCGCCTGTGTTTACCCGACTGTTTCAGGTAAAAATGGCTGCTGTGAAAAAGGTCTAGCCTTCCCCTAACAGTAACATTAATTTGGCCACAGCACAGGATGAAATATGATTTAAGATTTCCAGGACAACACAGATTATTTCCAGGATATTCCAGGTGTTTCCATGCAAACTAGTCTCTAAATTTCCAGGTTTTCCGGGACACTCGAGTCCTCCACACGTCATCTGAAGCTTTTTGCCTTATTTATTCTCCGTATAGACGCCTTCAACCGCCCCCAACGCCGTCTGTAATCTGAATTTCCCAGCACCCACCAAATAAAATGTCAATCTTGTTCTTACACTCCAACAATAAACAGACTTAAAAAAGGAAAAGCTCGGGCCAATCAGAGGCGTCTCTGAGGAGGTCGGCGTCTCCTCATTGGCCCGGCTCGCTGAGGGTTTGCATGGCGACACCTTGGGCTTGTTTCTTGACCGACTACAACCACACACACACACCGATGAGACGATGAGCTCTGCGCCACACCGTGGGTGCGTAAAGCAGATTATAGACTGATGTGCATTTAACTTTAAAATAAATAAATGACAGAAGGAGGTCAAAGAATTGAGAATCCGCCTCCTTTAAGAGGTTTTAAGAGCATCAGTCTTTTCTTTCACCGTCGTTCCCCTCAGAATAATTTATAGACACGTGCAGCTGCAGCAACCTTCAACCCCTTCCTCCAGATTTTAAGTGTGAAACTCACGTGTCGGTGTTTGTGTGTGTGCATTGAACGCCTCACGCCTTTCAAATAGAAACTGATCTGATCTCGTGTGTCTGAAAATCACAAGAAAATCAAACTTAGATTACATCTCAGTCGTCGAGGTTGCACTCACATGTGCAGGAGTGCATGACTGGCATTGTGTGTGTGTGTGTGTGTGTGTGTGTGTGTGTGTGTGTGTGTGTCTCCCTCTGCCATGCACATTCCCGGCACATGGCAACAGAAGCTAAATATAGCCCCAGCAGCCCGGCTTCACAGCGGGATCATGCTTCCTCTTGCTAACGTAGAATCCCTCCCCACCGCTGTCCCTGTTTCTCTGCTTCCTCCCAACATGGGTTCCTCTCGTGCACCTCCTCTCCCTCCCTCCTCTCCCTCTTCCTCCTCCTCCTCCTCTTTACTTCCCCTCATCATCCTCTACAGATACTCTCGTTCTGTCTCTGTGCACACTGCAAAAAAAGGATTCACAAGAAAATAAAAAAAATAATCTTGTTTCTGTCTTATATTGTCTTTTTTTTTTTGGTCCTAAAACAAACAATAATGTTGTCGAGCGTGTTTTTATGTTAGAAAAGTAATAAATTATTTATAAATGAATAAGATATTACAGTTAATATTGAGCTTGATTCAACCAGTAACACATTATAACAGTGCTTTAAATAGAATCCCGGCAGAGAAACGTGGATTTTGTAGTAAAACAATCGTGTTTTGTTAAAATGATGTAACTAGCTAACTAATGATTGAGCTTGTTAGTTGGTTAGTGGATTGTAAAAATAGCTAACTAGCTTGCTAACTATTAACTGACTAAACCACTAACTATCTAACGTTAACTAGTTAGTGGTTTGTGCTGTAGCAAAGACTAACTGGCTTGCTTACATTTGATGTAGATTACCTAGCGAGTTATCTAGTAGTGTTGTTTTTCTGTAGTAAAACAATAAAATATATCTAACTTTGTCTTCATCAGATATTACAGATAATACTGAGGTGGATTTAACTATTAACAACAATGTTTGTGTAATATCTCAGCAGAAAAGATTATTGTTCTTATTTTAATAAAAAATACTAAACATAAGAATGTTTTTAATTCCAAAATCTCTTACTTATATTTGGCTGTTTGATTAAATTGTGACTTATTGTAAGATTTTATTAAAGAAAATGAGATTATATCTAATATGTAAGAATATTTGGCCTGTTTCCAGAGGGGCTGTTTTTGCAGTGCACCTTTTTCCCCTCTGGATTCCTGCAACCTGACGGAAAACTGGGTTGTGTTGTTAGTCCTCGTAGCTTCAGCACACACACACACACACACACACACACACACACACACAGATGAGTACATATACTACACTACTGTACTTAAAGGTCCAGTGTGTAACATTGAGGAGGATCTATTGTCAGATATAATATTCTTATATATGTTTTTATTAGTGTTTAATTACCTGAATATAACTGTAAAATACAATTTACACATGAATACATCACTAATAATAATCCACTAATTTAATCTTTCTATAACATGAAATGGGCCATTAGACAGTACTTTTAATTTCAATACTTTAAGTCAATTTTGCTGAAAATGTTTAATATTTTAAATGCTTTTGTAACAGTATTAGTTCTTTATGTATTATTTCTTTTAATGGATTACATGTAGTTATGTAATCGGGATAGGGGAAAAAAAACAGGTAACCGTAATCCATTACAGTTACAGAAAAATATATGTAATCAGATTACAGTTACATTTAGTAAAAATGGGGATTATTTAGCAGGATTATAATTTTAAAATACATAAATTTGTCTTTAAAAATTACTTGATGCTAAAAATCTAATCCAAGGTCACATTTGTTCTTTACTTCTTACTGATATTTTTAATTTTTTTTTTTTTATTTTATTGATACTTTTCTCTTTTATTTGCATATTTGGAGTTGAGGTAACCCAAAAGTAACAGAAAGTAATCAAGTTACTTTAATATTGTAATACTCGGATTACCGACTACTGATTTTTTTTAACAGGTAGGCTCAGTAACTGTATCGGATTACATTTGTAAAGTAACCCTCCCAACCTTTTATTCAAGTAAGATCTGCACACACACACAAACACACACACACACACACACACACATACTCATATTTATAGAAGTCACTGGGGTTGGATCTGACTGATCCTAGCAGGATAGTAATGGACTGTTGGGAGCATGTGGTATAATCCCGGCTTGATTTGGCACCCGGCCTAGTGAGGTATTACATTGCTCACAGGCTGCATTAGTCGCACTGTTCACATGTGCGTGCTTGCACACATTACTGCTGCCCGGGAGGTGAGCGCGGGATGAGAGCGGCGGCGGGAGGGTCATCGGGGACATTTTACAGCTCGGAGACGATGATGAACACATTTACAGTGCAGGAATATTCGTGGAGACTTTGCACAGTGATAATGGATCTGTTGAGGGTGATTAGCATTTGAATGCTAATTATGGGTATCGTATATCTGTGTTTGGGGCATAAGTGGAGCTACGGTTATAGCCTCCTTCACTGGACTGTAACACTCAATGTCTGAACACCAGCCTCTTTATTGACTGATTGATTGATTATGACGTGAGAGTTTTACTAGAGTGTTTCCTTTTTATACCGCTTTATACTTCTACTACTGTACTGTATTTATTGTACTTTATTATCTGCCAACTGGATATGATTTTTATATAGTTAAAGCTTTAAAATGTAACATTATATATACATTTATATAATATATATATATGTAGTTGAGCTGCGTACATTATCCCAAGTCGTTCCAACAATGTTTTGTCATTTTATTTAGGTTGTTAGCATGATATCATAACTTATTTTTAAGGTGAAACTGCTTT